TTTTTGGGATTTTGTTTCAAGAGGTCTGTCCCTTACACAATTTGTCTGATCCCTTTTTAATTGTTAGCGAGTAAAACGTGCGAAACACATAGTTTTATTTTAAACTAGCAGGCAACGCATATGGCCGAAATTCATTCTTGTTCTATAAACAAGCCTATTAGTTGGATTTATTGATTTAAATTAATCAAGTCGTTTGTTTGGATGTAAAATTATAAAATAAAATTCATGCAAAACAAATAGATTAAAAACAGAATTACATTACGCGTACAGCATTCAATGCACTTCCAAGCTTGATGGTCTGGTCAAGAACTTTGCTTGCCAGTCAAGAGTCAATTGCAAGAAAATATAAAATAAAAGTCATTTTCTACTATATATTTTTGGTCTCCCAGTTAAGTTATGGTAACAACTACTTAAACAATTCACATCAAGTAGTTGTAACGAAAATGCTTTTGATGTTACGCCATGCATTTGTATTCGTAAGGAGCTGCTTTTCAAATATTCGACCACTCATTTTTTTAGTATTTATTTATATCTGCATTTCCTTGTTTCCCATTTGTTAGAAAAAATCTCGTTTTCTAGAAAACGCGTAAGAAAGTTTCTTGATCCCTTTAAATTCTTGGCCTTTCTCTGTGTCCCAGTTGTTGATTTCAAGTGTCATCGTTCTAATTCATGGAAGTTCAAGAAACATGCCAAATTCTTGAGGTTCATCTCTTAATCTTCGTTTTTAATTTACATATTTAATTTCTGTAATCGTATTTGCTTTAATGGGTTATGATTAGATGATTGTTAGCCTTTGTATTTTGGAATTTCAGTGGAAATCTCAGTTTGTGTTTAATTTGATCATTGTGTAGTTTGATGAACACTAAAGGGTTCAAGAGGAAGAAACCCAGAACACCTTTTTTTTTTCATTCATTGATCTTGTTCATTGTCGGATGGTCTTTGTTCCTTCAAAATTTGAGTGAGATTTAGGGTTTAGATTGGAAATTATTAGGAGTCTTCTCGGTCTTCTTAATAACATGTTTCAGCATCCAAGCTAGTACTAATCGAAGGCCTATAAGCCTTAAAGTCAAATTGTTTTGCTATCATTCAACAAAAAGAAAGAGGTGTTCTTGTTCTACAATTTTTGTTGGGATATTTCAAAATATTCTTGAAAATGGGTGATGCGGAAGAACACGTGATTGCTGCAGCCTATCACGTGGTGAAGGCGCTTGAGGCTACTAAGAACTTGAATTTCAGTAATGATGTGAGAAGACTTCTGGCAGATCTTGATGCTCACTTGTCCACGATGTCCCCAGTCGGTGAGAATGAGGTCGAGAAGACTAGAGACATTGAGAACAGGCTCCGGTCAGCTCAGGAAAAGATCACGGGATTGCATTCAAATCACTCGAGGATTTGGAATTCCGGTCCCATGATAGTTTCAGAATATTTGCAGGCCGTTGATGAGGTTCGGAGGTTGATAGAAACTTTAGAAAGTTATCCCTCCAAGAAAACTTGGAAACAAAAGGTCCTTTTGGATCGAGCTCAATGTACATTGCAGATTGCAATGACAAGGCTCCACGACGAACTGGTCCATATTCTTGCTCAGAGTAAACAAAATTTTGAGCAAGAATACGTGTTGCACCCCACTTGTGAAGAAACTTCTGTTTACGAGGAATCAATTGTTTCGAATGGGGGCGATTCAGTGCAAGAGGATCTGTCTCAGAGGGAGAGCAGCAGCACAGAAACTGAGGAATATGTAATGGATTTGGTCCATCCAGATGTCATTCCTAAAATCACGTCTATAGCAAACATTATGTTTGCTTCACATTATGGTCATGAATTTTGTCAGGCTTTTGTTCGATTCTGGAGAGATGAATTGGCTGAGTATTTGACGATTTTGAACGTGGAACAATTCAGCGTTGAGGATGTGCTGCAAATGGAGTGGAAACGTTTGAACTCCATAATCAGGAAATGGCGTCGAGCAATAAAGAATGTTGTTGGAATCTATCTTGCTAGTGAGAAACGCCTATTCGACCAAGTTCTGGGAGAATATGAAAGTGTTAGTTCGACTAGCTTGGTTGAGGCTTCAAAGGCTTCTCTGTTATGCCTGTTGAACTTTGGCCATGCTGTTGCAATTGGACCACATCGACCAGAATGGCTTTATTGCTTACTCGATATGTATGAGGTTTTGGCTTCTCTAATTTCAGATGTAGAATCTCTGTTTCCAGAAGAGGCTGGGTGTTCCATTAGGATCGAATTTCACGATCTTTTGAGGAGACTCGGGGATTCAGCAAAGACTATCTTTATGGAGTTCGGCAACCACATTGCCTCTCGTGCTTCTAGAACACCTTACCCAAAAGGTCGTATCCACCACCTAACCAAGTATGTAGTGAACTACATCCTGTGCTTTGCAGAGTATGGTGATACCCTCAATTTGCTTCTTGCAGAGAAAGATGGGGTAAATTTGGATATGGGTTCTAATGAAAACATTGGGCAGTCGACTATCTCTTGCCCAGTGGCTGTTCACCTGCAGTCGGTGACATCAATTTTAGAAGCCAACCTTGAAATCAGCTCCAATCTATACATAGATAGTTCTTTGAAGTATATATTTATGATGAATAACATCCATTACATGTATGATAAGATCAAGAACTCCGAAGTCAGGAGATATTTTGGTGATGAATGGATTCGTAAACATATTGCAAAATTCCGGCGGCATGCTTTGAGCTATGAGAGAGTCACGTGGAGCTCTGTAATTAGCTTGATAAGGGACGATGGGAAAACTGGAAAGGCAACTCTAAAAGAGAGATGCCGGGATTTCAATATTGCTTTTGAGGATATGTATAAGATACAGACAGCATGGTTAGTCCCTAACGTTGAACTTCGCGAAGAGTTAAGGATCTTAACTTCGAAGACAGTTATTCCTGCATACCAAAACTTTGTTGTTAACATTACCAATTCTATTGGTGAAAAGTACATTAAGTACACTGTACATGACATGGAATCTTACATCTTGGATCTGCTTGGTGGTTCGCAGAAGTCGTTGAAACCATCCCGGATGAAGGAGGTGACAATTTTAAACAGTATTTCTCTCTTTCCTTCTGTTGTAATTAATAAAATGATGTGATGAAATTGTCTTAAAATTCTGTCTCAAATTATTTGCAGTCCAAATTTGTGTGTATAGCTGTAGGGTAGAGTTTCTACTCTACAACATGCTGTATACGGAAAGTAATTGAATTGTTAAGACAACTTAAACTGAGCACATGCAGACATGCTTATTTTTAGTTTTCTTAAGAGTTAGGTTATCTCCTGAACAATCGCTTCCGGTTTCACTTACTCTAGTAGATTCGTGGTTAATGGCAATGCAGATTAATTAAAGGGTAAGTCATGGATCCTCAGCACATTTTAAATCTTGTTAGCATGATTCAACCTGAAAAGAACTGTTTGGTTCAGAATGATTCATTCACCAATCAGTAATGCCACCAAGAAAAACATTATTATCATTGACACTAACTAGTCCCTCTTTTAGGGAGGTTGGACCTAAGTTTACCTTCTTTTTCATTTTCTTTTTCCAAATAAAGCCTGTGTGAGATGGCCACAGGCACCTGCAGTTGGGCTCGGCACGGCCAACACAAGGAAGAGCGTGCATACTAGTCTGCACATGATACAATTCTGCTTCTCCTCTAGCAGAATCAAGTTGCACACTTGACATTGTCATGCAGAGTAAGCCCCTGTTTGTCTATCATTATTCCAAAAAATTAATTGCTACAGTAAGATTTTTCATCATACATTCACCCAATGACCCAATAAAATATTATACACACAAACCAATAAAGTTACTTTAAATTTCAATCACACATTCTCCAAAAAAAATACTATTTATTGTTCTATTTTTCTCCCAATAATGGGAGACAGGCACACCGTAAATAACTTCTGTAGCATTGAATGCATAATAAAGGATACTTGGATGAGAGTAGATGCATGGACCATAAGCTTAAGCTGGCTGCGGAAGTCTGCAGCCTGGCCTACTATGGCACAGGTTGAGGAACGGGACCAACTGGGCCTTGGCATGGTACAATTTTGCTTCTTATGTAGCACCTGAAGTTCCACCCTTGAGATTCAGAGTACAAAACTGATAATAAAAAATAAGAAAAGATCTTGTGCTGTTTGTCTTGCATGTACCAAACAGGCGGGACCGTAGAAGTAATATTCGAATGAGGTTTGAGAGTTGATGCAAGCACTCATTGACATTTACAACTACATGATCTATTCAATTGACCCTTCATCCCAAAGGTGAATAACACTTGATAAGATGGCTTCTGAAAATCAATACTTCATCTCATGCTGTCCCAGCATCACGATGAAGATAAGATACGAATGAGTCGAACTCGACAAACTTCCTTCTATTATTATGTCTTTTTATATTTATCCTTTTTTATTAGTTTCCATTAAGCGTTTTCTTAATATTTTTGGGAGTTTTGAGATTTAGATGGTAATTTCAATTATTCTGCACTTGGTGGCTAATGCATGTTGAAATTTTGCGTACGTTACGTCCTCTTTTCCAAGCTTTGAAACCATCCCCGGAAGGAGCGACTATTTTAAGCAGTATCTCTCTTTCTTCCCTTCACTTGTAAATAATAAAAGAATGTGTGGAGTTAAGTCTTTCAATTCTCTGTCTCAGATTATTTGCAGATGTAACTATAGAATTTTTCTCTACCACATTCTGCATACAGTTAAGTAATCTAATTGTTAAGTATATAGCTCAAAGGGCAAGTATATAAATCCAGAGAACAATTTAAATCGGGCAAGCCCTTTCCAATTTGCTGCTTTCGATTATATACACTGTTCAGACCTGGTCATAGAGCAACCTCGAGCTCTAAATTATGTTGGACACAAACTTTGAAATTAAGAGGATCAATCGTATTCATGATCTATTTCGCGAGATGAACATGATATATTTACTCGTCAAAATCATTAATTATTGAATGAAATATATGGATTCAAAGTCGTCCATTCGAAACTTAAGATATTGAAAATTTGATTAATATTAGTGGAAAAACATTTTGTTTATAAAACTTAAGTTTGGCCTTTATGTTTGGGTCATGAAGGGTACCCAATTTTACGAAATGGGCGAGGACTACATCCTTGTGGGTTCGAACCACATGTGCGCACGCTGCTGCCCGTTTGACATGGGTCCCGATCGAGTTGGGTCGGGTCGAGTGTTAACGATTTAAAAGTTTGAACCGTTATCTTTTTCTAGATTAACCGACATTTGTTTTTTTATCCAAACAGACACCTATGCACATTGAAAATGTTTTGTCTGAACAATCACCATTGTTCTTAAAAAGGCATTTAGTTTGTTGGAAGGATCACGAACACTATATAAATTGCCCGGCTTTCTGCCAGAAAAATCACAACATTCAATGCAATAATCCTTTAACTTTGAATTTGAATTTGACTTCTCTAAATTTTGCTTGTGCCTTTGAGTACAAACAACAAGTTGAGTTCGTTGGAACTCTTACAGATTGCTGTATTGCTTTTGTAAGAGATAAAAATCCATTCGATTCTTGAAGACAATTGTTGATTTCCTTAAAGCACCGAAAAGGGAGTAAAGTAATTTTAAGGATACACCGTGAAGTCAATGGACTCGGTTCATTAATTATGTTCCTGTTTCCATCCTGATTGTTCATCCCGTTCCTATTTCTAATTTTCAAGAAGGGTAAGTGTTTTCAGATTGTTTCCAAATACTCCAGAAATAACAATGTTAAGACTATATTTATTTTTCCTTGTTTATTCCTTCTCCTTCTGGTTTTAATTGTCATCCATTATCTCTGGTTTTATATCAAAAATAGCAACATCTGTAGGATCTCCACCAAATAGATGCAGAGTGGGACCCAGCAGACCCGAGAAGATTTGGGATCATTGACACAAGGGTTGTTGTAAGCCACCAGCTGACCAGTAAAAGGTCGAAAGGCTCAACAAGAAGCCGCCCCATAAGAGAGACAAAATTAAAGGAGCCACAAAATAAGAAAATACAATGGAGAAATAAAAAATCTAAAATTAACCGAACGTGCTTAACTAAAAGAAACCAATTAAAAACTTGGCCAGACGAGTGGTACAAAGGCCACTTGCTGAAAAACAAATAAGACTTTGAACTTAATTCAAGATAGATTAAACCTGTTCTGATATCATATATTTGTGTATACCTTTTTGCTGCCAATCTTGCCTTTACCTTTCAATCAATCTATACGCTTTGTATTTTACGATGAACACATAAGTGCACTGCAGTGACCCGAATTTTTGTTAAGGGATATAAATCCCACATCGAATAATGATGTAAACACAGACCAATTAATAAAGATCCTGGGCTACTCCTCT